TACGCCCTCCCCCCTCCTCTCTCTGTGCGTGCGTGTGTGTGTGTGTGTGTGTGTGTGTGTGTGTATTGGTTCGAATGATTTCACTTCTGTTCGCTTATTTATATCTTTCTATACGTATTTATATGTATACTTCGTAAGGTTTGCGTAAATGGGTTTCGGAAAAAGGATTATATATTATTTGCCGCTATATATGCATCGATTCGAGGGAGAGAGGGAATAGCATACTTCAACACAACAAAGTATTCCACCTTCATTTTTATTTTTGTCATTTTTCGTGCTTACGTTAATCCTCGCCTGCGGAGATCTAGAACGTCTCTCTCTTTTTTGTTTTCTCCCTCTTCTGTCTCGACGTTTTCTCTCTCTTTCTCTCTCCTTGCATGAAATTTGTTCCGTTCTTTTTTCCTTTTAAGAACTTTTCTAAGCACAAACGCACACGCACACGAAGCGACTGCCCATCACTTCATGTAGGCTCCATAATGCGTGTTGTGAAGGGTCAACAACAACAAGAATTATTCTCGTCCTCTGGTGCATTTTTTTTTTGATTTGCCTGATCTTTGGTATTCTATTGTTTCAAAGTTTATTTTGGTTAGTACTTAGTACTGTGACGATGATGATCTGTCAGATCGACGCGTGAACCAATATTCCTTTAGATTGCTATTGGATGGATTCCGCGCGAACTGTAGCAAATATGTATACGTATATATGTGTGTGTTTCTGGTAGATCACTTTTCGCTTCATCATTAAACATCCTTAAAGCCTGAGCGAGGAATGGTTGGATGTATGGATGGCAATGAGAAGCGAAGCGTCTCCGTGATCCTTTGTGTCAACCATTTTCCCTTTTTCACCTCTTTCTCAACGACGGTCTTCAGCTGCCGTAATTCTTCTTTCCTTTTCCAGTCCGCCCAACCCCATTTCGCCCCGCTTTGAAGGCGGATTTGTAAGAGAAAGCTACCACTTCGTTAGTAATACCCCAAAAAAACAAAACAAAACAGAGTATATAATCTTTCCCCAGCAGGCTCGTCAGTGTTTAAGAGTTTCTCACCTCCTGTACTTTAGACAGAATAATGATTATGTTGTCCAGGTTAAATCATCTTCTACCGAACCTTTGCTTTCAACCTATTCCCCCCCCCTTCACCGTCCTCTACCTAAATCATCTTCGTTTATTCTTTTCCTTTTTTCTTCTTTCTTTTCACACGGGCTGGGTCAGCTTTTCAAACCCGTTTGTTGCGAGTAAGGCTCAATACTGTTGCCGTCGGTAACCGCTAAAGAGGAGAGAGGAAATACTTGGAAACATATTTTTGCATATATGCATGTATTGGTAGATCCTGCCTTTTCTTCTTCTCTTTTGTTATTATTGTTATTATTATTATTTTTCCCCGTCAACCGTACCGCCCTGTGCTTTTGTGCGATACCTGACCGTTGTTCCTTTCCCCACTTTCTCGAAGAGACGTTGTCGTTTTCTTTTTTTCTTTTCCCACTCTGTGTTCGCCGCTTTACGCACTGCAGCACAGTGCTCGTTTTCTCCTCCTCTTTCTGCGTATCGCCATCCGTCGTTCGTAGCGGCGGCAGCGACTTGAGTGCGATCCTCACACAACACGAGGGACAACAATACCTGTGGACCGGACAAGAGGGAGAGCAGGAAACGCAAAGGGCTGAGCGCCAAACGCCGGTGAAAGAGTGAAGTAAGCACGAAAAGGAAAAAAAATTCTGCTTTACATACGTACTTCTTACTTATTAATATATACTCTCACGAGAAAAACAAAGTACTGCCCGTTTTCTTCTCATTTCGGTTCAACTTCAAACGTATAGGCGCAAGAACTCATACAGGCACACAGGGAAGCACACGCACACACGCGCAATGTGGAGTTATGAGCGGCTGCGTAACGTGGGGAAGATGGCGGCGGACGTCGGCGTTGCGTTTCCAGAGCATGCCACCAACGCCGCTGGCGCAGGCGGGGTCTGCGTCAGCTCTCGCAACCGTCGTCGATCCTGCCGGCGCTTTTGGAGGCTGCGCGCGCTGCAGGCCTTTGTCGTCATCGGGCTGATTGGTTTTGCTCTGTCGTGTTACGGGATCGTCCGCAGCGCTCATTCCGCCCAGCGCATCGGCACTCCGGCAACGTCGACGCGCCGTCCGCGGAACGCCAAGCCGCCACCACCGGCGACGCCATCGTCGCGTCCTCCCTACGACGACCAGCACGGCCGCAGGAACACCGCGACGCTGCGGACGCCCAAGTCGGGCACACCGCTTCCTACCACCCAACGGCTCGGTTTTCGCAACGGCACCAACGCAACGCGCGGAACGGCAACCGAGGAACGGAAGCCGACGGGGTCGGACCCACGCACCGTCCGCCCACACATGTTCAGCTCGGACAAGGTACATGGGCGGGAGGAAGGGGAGTATCGGCTCGAGGAACCGGACCGCCTGCCTGGGCTTTCCATCAGCCGCCGCACCTACACCGCTGCCGAGCTGCTGGAGAAGTTTAGCAACGTGGATTACATCTACAGCTTCGTCAACGGGACGGAGGCAAACCACGAATACCGCAAAGAGGTCCGGAGCGGGTGCTTCGCGCAGATCCTGGCCGCGGAGGCCACGTCGTACGAGCAGGGGTACCCGGCTTTCCTCACACCCACCACCACCGCCGCCCCCAGCACCACTTCCGCGATGACGAACACGAACAGCAGTGTGCAACGTAATGGGAACGCTTCGGCACCGGTGCTACATCCGTTTGCGCTCCTCAGATGCTCCGCAAATCGTATACGCAACCTAGTTGGACCGGGCCAAACCGTAGGCGCGCTGCTAACTGGAGTTCAAGCAGCGGCTCGCAGAGGTGCGGATAGTCGTGACCGCGAGACCGACGAGCTGCGGCACAGCATTCGCAGTCTGGAGCAGCACGTCCAGTGGCACCGCGGGCGTGTGGTGATTGTGTCGCCCGGGCACCACCCGACGTGGGTGGACGGCGCGAGGAACTTCCTTGCCGGTGTGTGCGGTGGCGCGTCCGTGCAGGCGCTGCGCTCGCGTGGCACGCATCTGCGGCTGACGACGGTGCACCAGGACGCGCTGATGCCGTACGGGATGCGGCTGACGGCTGACTCGCACGTGATTGAGCAGCACATCTGGCGTGTGCGGAACACGACCGCCGTGCACGTGTACATGAACGACGACTACTTCGTGAACCGCGACGTGGCCATCACGGACCTGTTCAACGAGTACGGCGGCACCATTGTGCGGACGGAAGGCGGCCAAATTGGCGTCGCGGCAGTAGGTGATCACACCGCATCGTGGGCGAAGGGTGTCTCGAATACGGAGTTCTTCAACGTACAACAACTCGATATCAACAAGGAAGATGATCTTCCCGCCGACTTGGTGGCGATGTGGGATGCGCTTCATAGGGTGAGCGATGCTACTACGACCGCAGGAGCATTGCCCTCTGTTGCCCAGCCCCCGCTAGAACAGGCGGTAGACGTGGCGCACAGCTACAGTCCGCCACCTCCGTCCTCAGCGCTGTTGAAGGCACGACGTGTCCGCTTCTACGCCACCCACGCCCCCTTTGTGTACTGCACGAACATGTTCCGCTTCCTCGAGACGCGCTACGAACGTGAATTCGCGAACGCTTCTCTGCACCATCGCGGGCGTAAGGCGCGGGACTTGTTTCTGCCGTTCCTCTACAACGCCTTCATCATGGCGCGGCCGTGGCAGGCGTCCCCTCAGTTCCTGCCCTACCTGATGCAGCTGCACCGCAGTCGAGGCCGCACACCCACCGAGGCGCCGCCGTCGCTGTCCATTTCGTTGGACAACGTTGACGGGTGTGCACCCGCGACTTTGTTGGCCGGGAGGTCCTCTGGTTGCGCCTACGGAAAATTCTCAAACAATGTGTCGTTCAACGAGGGGGAGATCGCGTACTTTCGTGTGAATGCACGATAAGTTCCCCACCCCGGTGTATTTGGAGCAGGCACCCGCCACGACTGCGGCAGACCCGGAGGCAGCCGCCGCTGACGGGGACGGGGAGAAGGACGCAACGGCGGCGGCGGCAGCGGCGGCCAACGTGGTGGCGGATGCGGTGCTGCCACCGCTGTTTGATGCGCTGATGGCGCTGCCGGTGGTGGGTGTTGTGTCGTACGAGGAGGGCGTGTGCCCGCTGGTGCGCAGTCTGTCGCTCGCCTTCGCCGGCCACCACCGCGGTCGCGTGCACGTTGCTGTGCAGCGCTACGGAGATGGCGAGGCCGACGAGACGCTGCGCGAGGCCCGCACGCGGCTGAGGAACCGTGTGATCAGCGCGACGCCGGTGCTGAAGTGCGCGTACGGCTCAGCGGTGAAGGTGGCGTCCTCCGCCCGTGGAGAGGGCGTTGCGGACGTGGCGAGGCGCGTGCTGCAGGCGAGCGACGGAGCCGGCGTGGTGCTGCCGTCGACGTGCGGTGCCGGGGACGGTGGCGCTGCGGGGCTGCGCGTGCGTGGGTTTGTGATGGATGCCCGCACGCCGCACGCGCCTGTGACGAGCACCGCTGCGCTGCGTGCTGCACTGTCGATGCCCGGGCAGACGCTTGCGTTGGAGGACTTCCGTGCGGTGCGTGTGGGACCGGATGACCGTGACGTTGTGCTCGTGCTGGCCCGCGAGGACGCCGCGGCGAAGGCGGTGCACTGGATCGACGGCGCATCGGAGAATGATCTGCTGCTGACGTACCCGCTGCCGCTGGAGGCGTACGAGGACATGACTGCGGAGCTGCAGTGGTCCCGGCCGTAAAGACTCCTTCCGTGGCGTCCTGGAAAAAGGGCGCGTACGAGATCAGCTGCTCGTTTGATGCACGGACTTGTTTGCAAGCGGCACAAGCGAGCCAGTGGTGTTGACGCACGGTTCTGATGGACGGAGAGTCATGTGTTTACCATAGTTGTTACTTAGGAGGACTCAAGTGTGGAAGGGAATATGTGAACAGTGCTGCTGCTCCCCAAGAAGCACCCATGTGAGCGGCAGCGGTTTTTTCTTTTTTCTCCGAGCGATCGAGAAGACGATTGTTTATCCATTCGTTGTGTTGCCAGTCGACTGGCACCGGACGAAGCAGAATGCGCTGCGTCTCTAGAAGCGCTATTTTCATTCTTGTTATTGTTTTTTTTTTCTTTTGTTAAATATGAAAGCTGAGTTCAGTGTGCGCGCCCGCCGTTTGAGCTGCGCTCCTGCAACCTCTGTTCTGCCGTTCCATGATGGCGCAGATAATCGTTTTACGAGTACCCCTCCACGCGACGCCCCACAAACCGATAGGCTCAGCTTCGACAAAGGCGCCGAAGACGCTCGCTCAGCTTCCTGCTGTCGGCGCAGTAGTTCCCATTCCGCGGATAGAGCGTTATTCCTAAAAGCCGAGGTGTACGGTGACCTCTTTCGTTTTATACTTCTCTCTTTCTCTTTCTCTTCCACCTCTTCTGCTTGTATGTTTGTGTGTGTGTGTGGGGTTCATACGCTACTCGTCTTGAAGGAGAAGTGCAAGATTGTTTCTCCGACGGAGTTCACTTTTCGGGCTCTTTCGAATTTGCCACGGCACGCATCTCCACCCACGTACCTCTGGCTGTAGATACGACGCATTCTAATTCCATTTCGTCGTGGGAACTGAATATATATATCTATATATGTATCTGCGTGTGTATAACGCAGAAGAAAGCCCACCGCATTGCTCCTCCTCTGCGTCGTTTTTCTGTGGTTTCTTCTTCTCTGCGAGTCTCACCGTGTGCACATCTCCGGACGTCTTTGTTGTTCGTTTCGCCGCCTTCTGTCCCTTTTTATTTTTTTCTTAAAGTGCTGTTTTTGACGACGTCCTCGGAGGTGGTACTTACCATTGATATTTCCTTGTGAGTGCAATTCACGGTTTTCCATTGTCGCAGCTCCCTTTCGTGCTGTCGCGTATTATCTTCACTTCTCCGGTGCGCATCCGCCTGCCCGCGAGCTGCCGCAGATATATATATATTTACATCGCTATCGTTGTTGTTGCTCTTGCTTCCTTTTGCCGCTGCAAAGTTGTAGCGGAGCGTCGGCGCAGAGACTCGTTTCCCAGCTATCATTTTTATTTGTTTACTTACCTTAGTTTCAAAATAGGCGCACTACGCTCTGCTCTGCGTGCAACGCCCCAGGGCAAACCAGGGTGCAGTGTTTGGTGGGAGAAGGCCGTATTCTAAATACCTCTCCTGTATACAAGCCCCCTCTCTAAAAAAAAAAGGAAGTAAAACGCAAAGGGAAAGGGAAAATGAAGCGCACCTCGCGACTGCTATGCTCTTCGTTTTACGCATTGTGCGTCATGCGGCTTGGGGGCCGCCTCGGCCGCCTCTGCGGCTCTGAGAAGGCGGGACGCGGCTGTGCGGTCTTCCTCGTCCTCGTCTGCGTGACTGCCTGCTTGGCGTTTGCGTTGGTCGAAATCACCTACCTCTCCAGATTCCTTCACCGCTCCCCTGGCGGCACGGCGCCGTCCGGTGTGCGGGCACCTCGTATGGATCAGTGGGGTAGGGACGTCAGCACCGATCGTCACTTCGCCATCGAGAGCCTTGCCTACGCAAACCTCCCAGCCGCTCAGCAAGCACATCAACGCAGCCAGCACGCGGCGATCGAGGAGCGGCGGCGGAAGGTGATGGAGATGAACGGGAGACGCATTGTGCCTCGTGTGGCTCCCGGCGCACGGGATCCGAACGCCTTTCGCCTCGACCCCGTGTTGGCTGCGTCGCTGCCACGACACGTCGAGGCGATCGTAGACGGCATCGCGCTTCTCCGCCCTCCCGGCACCCCGCCGCTGCCCTCCATGCACACCTACTGGCGCACCTACACCGCAGACGAGCTGTACGCCCGCTATGACGACCTCGATTACCTTTACAGCTTCGTGAATGGGACGGAGGCGAACCACAACTACCGCAAGAAAATTCGTGTGAGCTGCGGAAGAGCGATCTTGGCCTTGGAGGAGACGTACTTTCGGGAGCACTCACCCCTCCGCAAGGCGCAAGGTGCGGTGTTGACCGGTGAGGGTGCAGCACAGGAGGCGATGGCTGCCGCGGAAGGACGGGGCACGGGCACGAAGGGCAGCGCGGACGCTGGCGCCGATGTGCTCCGCACCTTGGACCACGAGTGCTCCTATTACCACTCCATGACGAACCTTACGAACGATGTCTTTCTCAACCGCTTTAGCGGCTCTGCAACGGCGCAAACCGTCGACGATCGCGATCGCGAGACCGACGAGCTGCGGCACAGCATTCGCAGTCTGGAGCAGCACGTCCAGTGGCACCGCGGGCGTGTGGTGATTGTGTCGCCCGGGCACCACCCGACGTGGGTGGACGGCGCGAGGAACTTCCTTGCCGGTGTGTGCGGTGGCGCGTCCGTGCAGGCGCTGCGCTCGCGTGGCACGCATCTGCGGCTGACGACGGTGCACCAGGACGCGCTGATGCCGTACGGGATGCGGCTGACGGCTGACTCGCACGTGATTGAGCAGCACATCTGGCGTGTGCGGAACACGACCGCCGTGCACGTGTACATGAACGACGACTACTTCGTGAACCGCGACGTGGCCATCACGGACCTGTTCAACGAGTACGGCGGCACCATTGTGCGGACGGAGTCGGGCGTCGTTTCCTACGGCAAGACAGCAGACGAGGGCATCTCATGGGCCGAGGGCGTTGCGAACACGGAACTCTTCCTCATTCAGCACCTGGAGCGTTCTCAAGAAGACGCCCTGCCACCGTCTCTGGCCCGGCACTGGAAGAAGGTGTTACGCTTGGAAGAAAAGGCGAGCGCGCGGCACAAGCTGTTTGCGCGTGTCAAGGAAAAGGAGGAGGGTGCTACCAGCGTGCGCGCAACGAGCGGGGAGGAGACGGCGATGGAGGAGGAAATACAGCGCGTGCTAAGCTTTCGTGAGCTGCTGCTGACGGCAAACAGCTCGTTTTACTGGGAGGCTGCGCTGGAGTCGCCCGTGACGGTCAGCCCGATGCCGGAGGGCTCCCACATCGGTGCCCTGCAGCGTTTCTATGCGACACACGCACCCTTCGTATACTGCACCAACATGTTCCGTCACTTCTCTGTGCGCTTCGAGGGGGACATGGCGCCGCTCCAGCTGCGGCATCGTGAGCGAAAGGCGCGGGACTTGTTTGTGCCATTCCTCTACAACGGCTTTATCATGGCACGGCCGTGGGAGGCGTCGGCCAAGTTCCTGCCTTACTTATTGGAGCTGAGCGACGCCAGCGCGATGGCAGCGGCAGACACGAAAACCGATTTGGGCAGAATGCCAGACGTCACGGCGCCGTACTTTCAGGAGAAGCTGCACGCCGCGTATCAGCGGAATTTGGCCAAGTACGTGCACAACGTATCCATCTACTTGGACAATGACGACGGCTGCGCTCCGCCGACCCTGTACCGCAGCCCATCCGCCGATGTCGTCTACATGCGCGCGCAAGATGACTTGGAGCAGAACCAGCGCGCGATGAATGGCGTAACATCCAAGGTGCCGCTGTACTTCAACATCAACGCCGGCTTCACGTCCGCTGAGGCGGCGAAGCAGGTGAAGGAGTTCCTACACCGGCAGTACCCGACGCCCCTTTATCTGGAGAAGGTGGAGGAGAAGGACATGGCGCATGGACTGGTACTCGATACCCTGACGAAGGTCTTCACCGATCTGATGCAGCTCCCTATTGTGGGTGTTGTGTCGTACGAGGAGGGCGTGTGCCCGCTGGTGCGCAGTCTGTCGCTCGCCTTCGCCGGCCACCACCGTGGTCGCGTGCACGTTGCTGTGCAGCGCTACGGAGATGGCGAGGCCGACGAGACGCTGCGCGAGGCCCGCACGCGGCTGAGGAACCGTGTGATCAGCGCTGTGCCCGTCACGGGCTGCTCCTACAATCGCCATGTCAGCATCGGGACGGCGGTGCGCGGCGACAGCATTGCCGATCTCGCCTCTCGAATTCTCGGTAACCATGGAGCTAGTGTGGTGCTGCCGTCGACGTGCGGTGCCGGGGACGGTGGCGCTGCGGGGCTGCGCGTGCGTGGGTTTGTGATGGACGCCCGCACGCCGCACGCGCCTGTGACGAGCACCGCTGCGCTGCGTGCTGCGCTGTCGATGCCCGGGCAGACGCTTGCGTTGGAGGACTTCCGTGCGATGCGTGTGGGACCGGATGACCGTGACGTTGTGCTCGTGCTGGCCCGCGAGGACGCCGCGGCGAAGGCGGTGCACTGGATCGACGGCGCATCGGAGAATGATCTGCTCATCACCTTTCCACTTCCTCTAAGGGAATATGAGGAAATGGAGGCCACCGTCAAGTGGTCGAAGCCGTGAGCAGAGAACTTTTGTTTTCTTGTGTTTTTCTTTTTAATTTATCGTATGATACTCCGTAGTGCTGAGTTGTGTGTGTGTGTGTGCGCTGACTCCTGTGCTCAGTGAGTTTTCTCCACCTTCATTGTTGTTCCAATGTAACTTTTTTCGGGTTTCGGTGTACGGATATTCGAAAAGGGAAGGGAAAGCATTGGCCCCTGTCGAAGTAGTTGTTTCAAGACGCGTGATGGTCGTGGGCTGGCTGGCGAGCTGCTTCGCGCCCCGTGTGTGTGTGTGTGTGTGTGTGTGGAACGCAGTCTTTCCTTTAATTCTATGAGGCGGGGAAGGGGCGGGGGGGGGTCCGTCGTCTTCTCTCCTCGCTCTCTCCCAGCGGGCAAGGCAACAACACAAAACCCCCTTCACAGGCGTGTCGTACCCGCTGAAAATGCGGCGCAACGGGCAGCCTAGTTTCTCTCTCCGGCTCTCTGTGCTCTCCATGTCATCACACAACCGCCTTCGTTCTTCTAGTTTCCTTTATCACTCCCTCTTCTCTCTCTCTGGCATAATAACATATATGTATATATTTATTCCTGGTCAATTTGAGCAAGGCAGACCTTCATTGCGGCAGCGGATTCTGTCGGAATTGAAGGGCGACGTAACTCCATCACGTTCGCCTTGATGTGCAGTACATGTACCGTAACTTCTCTGCGCGAAGGCTTTTCCTCTTTCTGTTGATTGCGCATCCTTTTTTTTCCTTTTTAGAGAACATTACCAATCACAAATGAATTTTCTGCGCCCGCGCGGTGCGCAGGACAATCCGAAGGCGGCTCGTTTCGAGCCCGTCAGCGGGGCGATCCCCATTCTCGCCACCGGCCGCTTTCCCAGCCCGCGTGCACGGCGCTCTCCCTGCTCGCCATCCGGCAATGCCGTCGTGCACTTCTGCCGCGCTGCATGCGGCTTTCTGCGACGGCCGCGGCGACTCCATCTACTTCGCGGGTACCGCTGGCTGGAGAAGCGCCGCCTGCGCTGCTGCGCCGCCATCGCCCTTTTCGTCGTCCTCCTCAGCACGCTCTTTTTTCTTTCTTTCGTTGCCATCTTTCTCACGTGGGAGCGCCCGTGGACGCAGGTGCTTGTGCGGGATTACCTCTCCTTCCTGAAGGGCGCCGACCTCCGCGCTCGGGTGCCGGGGGCGTCGCGTCCGCGGGAGCCGGCCCGGCTGTGGGGACTTACGATTGCCGCGGTGCACCCCCTCGCGGAGCCGCCCCCAGCTCTGGCGCGTACGGCTGCGCAGGCCGACAACGCCGTCCCGTCTCCCCTGACAGCTCGCCTCGAGGCGAAGTACGCTGACAGTTTAGTCATCTACACCTTCGCCAACGGGACGGAGCGCAATCACGTCTATCGCCGCCTCAGTCTATCCTACTGCGGCTCTCATATTCAAAATATCGAGGCGCAGCTCCTGCTGAACGGTGTCGTGCTGGATGGTAAAGGTACGACGGAGTTCTGCACGACACCGATGCAGCAAGCAAAGACAAACAAGGAGGTGTTGACCATGGTGGATGGGCGTGTGGAGACATCCATTACAGGTCGTGACCGCGAGACCGACGAGCTGCGGCACAGCATTCGCAGTCTGGAGAAGCACGTCCAGTGGCACCGCGGGCGTGTGGTGATTGTGTCGCCCGGGCACCACCCGACGTGGGTGGACGGCGCGAGGAACTTCCTTGCCGGTGTGTGCGGTGGCGCGGCTGTGCAGGCGCTGCGCTCGCGTGGCACGCATCTGCGGCTGACGACGGTGCACCAGGACGCGCTGATGGTCGCCCACGCTAGGCTAACAGTCAACACGCATTCGATTGAGCAACAACTCTGGCGTGTGCGGAACACGACCGCCGTGCACGTGTACATGAACGACGACTACTTCGTGAACCGCGACGTGGCCATCACGGACCTGTTCAACGAGTACGGCGGCACCATTGTGCGGGTAGAGTCGTCGCTTATCAGTAGTGCGTACACGGCCAACGATACGTTACCGACGTGGGAGGACGGTGTAAGCCACACGAACTACATTGCGATTCGCGATCTGGATCTCCAGCACGAAGATGACGTCTCGGCACACGCGCTGCAGTTGTTGCAGCAGCAGACCGGGGATGCGGTGCACGTGCACGCGGACGCGATCCGCAGTGGTGCCGCCCCCCTGCCCTCTTTCAACGCACCCAGTCCGAAAGACGCCATGTGGATGATCATGGATCTGCTGGAGGGGGACCACGCTGCGAATCTCACTCTTCCAACCGCCTACTCCGCCGAGGCGGTGATCGCCGCGTACACGAGTCCCTCCTTCGGTGTGGTTCGACCCCACTTCTTTGCCACCCATGCCCCGTTCGTGTACTGCACCAACATGCTGCGGTACTTGGCGTCGCGTTACCAGCGGGAGTACGCGCAGTCCATGTTCCTGCACCGCTCGCGCAGCTCCACAGACTTGTACGTGCCGTTCCTGTACAACGCGTTTGTGATGGCCCGGCCGTGGGTCGCCTCGCCGCGCTTTCTTCCCTATCTTCTTTTCCAACGAGAGATGGAGAGAGCGATGGCGCGGCGCGGAGGGGAGCGCGTCGGTGTCACGGAACGGCCGGACGCGGCGGCCGCCGCCAACCTCAACGATGTCCCGCTTCAACAGGCAAGACAGAAAGAAATGGAGGAAATCAAGAAGACCCTCTCGCTCAACCCCATCCGACTGGACAACGAGGACGGCTGTGCGCCGGCGACGATGCTGGTGGGGGAAGCAGAAAACAGCTGCCTCTTTGGCCGCTTCACCGATGATCTGAACGAGAACAGCCGGTACATGCGCCAGATTGCGGAAGAGAAGCCCATGTTTTTTAACGTGAACTCCGGCCTGACGACGCTGACGGCAGCCGATCAGCTTCGTGCCTTTCTAAAAACGAAGTTTCCACAGCAGATTTTTTTAGAAAAGGCGCGTGCATCAGCAGGGGTGGTCGATCCGGCGCTGACACCGCTGTTTAGTGCGCTGATGACGTTGCCGGTGTTGGCTGTGGTGTCGTTCGCGGAGGGCGTGTGCCCGCTGGTGCGCAGTCTGTCGCTCGCCTTCGCCGGCCACCACCGTGGTCGCGTGCACGTTCGGCAGCCACGACACGGCCTTGGGGAAGTCGACGCCACGCTGGGGGAGGTTCGAGCGGAGTTGCACTACACGCCGATGAGTGCGCTGCCCGCTGTCGGCTGTACCTTTTCCTCGAGAGTCGATGTTGCCGTGACGAAGCGGGGACAGAGCCTCGTGAACCTTACCCTGCAAGCCTTTGCCAACGATGGAGGGTTTGCGGTGGCGCTGCCGTCGACGTGCGGTGCCGGGGACGGTGGCGCCGCGGGGCTGCGCGTGCATGGGTTTGTGATCGACGCACAGACACCGCATCTTCCACTCCGCCAAGTAAAACACATTCCCGAGGCGCTGTCGATGCCCGGGCAGACGCTTGCGTTGGAGGACTTCCGTGCGATGCGTGTGGGACCGGATGACCGTGACGTTGTGCTCGTGCTGGCCCGCGAGGACGCCGCGGCGAAGGCGGTGCACTGGATCGACGGCGCATCGGAGAATGATCTGCTCATCACCTTTCCACTTCCTCTAAGGGAATATGAGGAAATGGAGGCGATGATTAAGTGGGTGGCGTGGCAGCCGTGAGCGCGGGGTGATAGTAGAACAACAGCCACAACGCGGGTGTGCAATGACGCACGATCGTCGCCACCGTTCATCGCGCTTGCTGGATGCACAGGTTGTTGCGCGCGCGGCTGGAGACTCAGCTACGTTTGTTTCCTTTTTCCTTTTTTGTTTTACCGGTTTCGCTGTTCTCGTGCGCGACATCCCTTTCTTTTCTTTTTCTTCTCCTTATTTCGCCTTCTTCATGAAATGTAAGCTTCAATGCGACAGCGATGTGTGTTAGCAGCGTTGGGATTTTGTTGCACGATGTGAAGTCATCAACAAAAGGAAGAGGGAAATGGGCTTTTTTTTTCTCGTGAATGCACTAGTTTAAGGTGAAGCTGTGGGATTGCGTGTTGTTGCAGGTGACGTCTGCTCCCCGACACGCGAGGAGAGCCACCCACGAGGGAGGTGTTGAGGTCTCTCTTCTGTGAGGCGTCAATTCGCATAGTCTTTTCAAAAGACTGTTGCCCACTGACGGAGGTTTATCAGCGTTCGATCTGCTCATTCCTGTTCTTCCTACGATTCCTCTCTGACATCTTTCAAGAAGGAAAAAACAACAACAACGCATTCTTTTCTTCTTGCACCCTTGACGCACGACATCAATTATCTTGTGTTTTTTTTTTTACACGCAATTGCGGTGCCGCAGTCGAAAAAAAGATCGCCCAAAGCGACTCCATTACGTTCTCTTCGCCTTCTCTTCTTCATTCCCTGTGTGGAGCGGCCGACCCACCCCAGTCAACGGCCAACAGGTAAAACAAACAAACAAAAACTCTCAGCTAGCAGCGACCACAACCACCTCCACACCAACCCAACTTCTTTATTTCTTTTCTTTCACGATGAGCTCGACGAGCCAGCAGCCTGCGGCGGCCCCTAGCGGAAACAAAGTCACCTTCCGCGTCATCCTCACCTCGGAGCGCAGCCAGCCCTTTCGTGTCATCAGTATTGCCGAGGAGGCCCCGCTGACGGCGGTGCTGCGCTTCGCCGCGGAGGAGTTCGGGATTGCCTCGGTGGACTCTATGGCGGCCACCACGAAGGACGGGACTGGCATCAACCCGGCGCAGACGGCGGGGACGGTGTTTATGAAGTACGGACAGGAGATCCGCCTGATCCCGCGTGATCGCGTCGGTGCATGCGTCGAAAACTATTAGTTAAATATATTCTTATTGCCGCGTTTGTGTTGGCTGCGATGTGCGTTTTTGGGCTCAAGGTAAAGTATAGATGTTTAGTGCCGTCGTAACCGAGGTAATCATCGAAAGAGAATAAAAGAGAAACGAAAAGAAAGGAGGGTAACGCACTGTGGGGCAGGAGGTGCTGTTGCTCGTCGCGTCTGAGTTGCTTCTAGTGACACGAAGGCCTTCCCCATTACGGTCTGTAGTATAACGCAGGGCTGGAAGGAGCGTTTTTCCAAGGATTCTTGTCGAGCTTTTCCCTCCTCAAATAATAATAATAATAATAAACGATCAACCGCTTTCCGTGGACGCTTCACCATACCGAGAGCCCCTCAGAAGATACACGTGCACCGTACTCGCAAGAGTTTTTGTTCTACCCCGCCTCCCTCACCCATCACCTTCGCCCCCCGCCCTCTCTCCTTCTTTCTTCTGTTTTTCTTTTGTGCATCTTAACGGTGGCTATTTTTGGTTCCGCGGACAAGCAGGAGGGAAGGACGAAAGGAGGAATTATTATTATTGACATACGCCTCGTTTCTCCAACAGCAAGGACTACTGTCCACGAGCATTCGCTGCCTTCGCTCTTTCTCGCTCCGGTAGTGTGCTTTCGATACATCGGGGGTGCTTGTGGGAGGTCTGGCGCTGCCGTTCTGCTGTTGATGTCGTGGAGTTCAACACAACCAGCGCATCTGTAAAGGTTTTTTTCCCCCTTTTCTGTCTCTTTGCTTTTCGTTTTCTTGTTAGCACCCAGCGAAGGGTGTGTATCACCGCAATTAGAGCCATTTCATCGGCGGCAGCAAACAACACTCACCGCGAAACGTGTTATCCTCCTTTCTCCTTCGTTCTCCACCACACGCCGTCTTCTTGACGGAGGCAACGAACTCACCCACTCGCACACACACACACACACACACACACAGACAGACAAAGACAAGCAAGAGATAGAATTTGTAGCGTCGACATGGCGCTCTCTTCTCAGTGGAGTCAGGCGGTGGTCGTGCGAGCCACCGACGCGGGAGAGGTGATTGTCCCTCCTCAACCGAACAACGGCACGGCGAGAGCGATGGCCGCGGCGGGCAACCCGATTATTGTTCGGGCTCGCACTGCTGAAAACTTCGGCGGTGGGGTATTCGGCGGCATAGACGGCCGCGGCGTGGGCGATGACCACCGCACCGGTACCGGTCGTCAGGGATATCTCTCCTCCCTCCTCATCGGCTACGACATCAGTCAAACCTTCTGGGTGCCGGACGCGGCGAAAGGAGAGATGGGGCTGCTGGAGCACCTTAGCCGACGCGGCTCGACGAACCGGTCCTACGTGCTGCTGCAGAGCCGGCCCCTGGCGGAGCTGCAGGCGAACTTCTCCACCTGCACAGGCTACAACATCGATTTGGGCCACAACATGTTCCGCCTGTCCAAGGCGGCCATGGCGCTGCAACACATGGACACGACGCTGGTCGACGGTGGGGAGGACTACGAGGACTACGGCGGCAACTCCGCCGATGCCGCGGTGACGAGTGGGTCCAACTCGAACCCGTACATGAGCCCCACCTCTCCCTCTCAAGGGTCGCGCCGACCCGGCTCGCAGCAGTCGTCGCAGCAGCTCAGCATCTCCACTCGCGCCTTTAAAGCATCTATGCGTGCCAGTCTGCAGTCCTTACAGGAGGAAGACTACTACCTCGTGAAGTACCGCGACTACAGTGCCTGGGCCGTGTCGGAGTACAAGAGCATCTGCAAGACGGACTCCATGTTCGGCCGCAAGTACGTTGAGCAGTGCTTCGCGGTGCACGTAGGGCGCGAGCCGGGAGAGCTGATCCCCATGACGGAGGCACAGTTTCTCTACGGCGTCGACCTGCTCCAGCGACAGCTGATGAATCAACTCACGAACGTCCCGTCGCGGCAGCCGGCCGGGTGGGGCGGGGCCGATCCAAATCAGAGCAGCTATCAGCAGTATCAAATCGACATCAACTACAGCGCCCTCAACGCGGACCAGTTCCGCTCCCTGGGGGCGCTGTTGGGGGACGGCATGCGGCAGGTCGGCGTCGAGGGCGAGGAGAAGAAGCGCGAGGAGCAGATGAAAGCCGACGCACGTGGGCGTGCACGCGGTGATGACTACTACGACTACACCCCGCCTGCCTGGTACGACTGGACGCCCGGGGCGGTCCGCGCCCGTGTGCAGCACCGCTTGCATGGGTACTATCGCAGCGTCGGTCAGCTCACTGTGCAGGTGGCGGTGCTCGGCGTGTGCGGGTTTTTACTCTACCGCACGGTGAAGGATTACCTTCCTGGCCCCTCGAAGAACGTGGACGTTTTGAATGACGATAGACGCCGTGGCGGTCGCGGCGGTGGTGGCCGACGGCGGAGCAGAAGCTACGATGATGACTACGGCTACGATTACCGACCCGGACTGTTTCGGAGCATCTTGATGGGACCGAAGGAGGTATTCGATTACCTCCTCGCTCCTTCACCGGAGCAGTAGAAGCGTTTGACGCGGCTGTTTTGTAGCCTAGAGGAAGAAATGAGAAAACAATGGAGGGTAATAGAAACGGTGAGCCGTGGAGACATGACGACGACAACCGTATCAAAGGATGATGTGCGATAACTGCCATGGGGATCTGTGCGCCTGTCCTTGAGCTGCCTTTGCAGATTGTACTTTTCCTTTTTTTCTTTTCCTCGTCGTCGCTCCTGTGCGGGAACGCTATTTATTTGATTTATTATATTCGTAGGTTTTTTTTTGGTTTACTACTAGCTGATGCTGTTTACACATCTCTCGTTGGTGCGCTTTGCCAAACTCCTTTTCGAATCCCAACAACAATAAGAAGCCCCGTCGCTGAAGGCACTTGCAATCAAAAAAAAAAACGCCGAGATCGGCTTTTTTTGGATGTATCTCACGCCTCCGCCCTCTTCCCTCCTCTTACTTCCGTTTGGCTTGTGCGAAGGACCGGAGGCGTGCGTTGTGCCTGCGTGATGCAGAGCTTTTTTTTTCTTCTTCTCTATTGAATCTTGACCTTGGTATGAAAGTGGCTCTACGGGAGGGACGGTGCGACTTCTTCTTTCTTCTTGTGTTCCTTCGAGCGCCTGTTCAGAGGAGCGCCACAAGTCCGAGCCCGCATCCTTCTCCCCACCCCCAAAAAGAAAAGAAAAACCCAACCAAACCCGCGGAGGTGGCAGGTAGCAGCGATGCCGCCCGCCCTTTGCCGCCTCACTACCCTTCTGCCGCTTCACCGTCTTCTCCATTTCCTCCCCATTCTCTCTTCGTCACCTTATCGTACCTGAAGCTCCGTCTGCCCCGAAGCTGTCTGCGAGCCACCTCTGCGATTCGTCTATCCACCACATTTCTCCCTTCTCTTTCTTTCGAACACGCCTGTGTTTTTTTGTTTTGCAAATTTCATCGTATCAAGGAAGCACCTCACAAGCCTCCGCCGTGCAGAGGCAGCGACGCCCATCCGGAAGAAAAGGGGCGCGCCGACGACACAGGGGAGAGCAAGCGAAGTCTGTGCAGCAGAAATCGAACGCTCTCACGCACGCCATGACGCGCATCCCCACAGTCTCCTTCGAGGAGTACGAGGAACCGATGGCGGTGGCGGCTGACAACGCAGTCCGACAGTCCACAAAAGGCGCCACCCCCCCTGCCACTCCTGCCGCGGACGATAAGATGAAGGGAGCCGCCACACCTCTGCGGCAGAGTCCCACGCCCGGAGGGAGCACGCAGGGGAATGAAAGCGACAGCAGCATGAAGCTTGGCAAGATGCAGCGTGCGGAGGACTACCCGCAGATCGCATTTCGGCCACTCCGCGAGCTGCGTCACAACGGCACAGAAGGTGAAGCGCACGTGCGTCCGAGACGGTCAACAAGTCGCGCGCGTGAGCTGGTATTCGGGCTCGGTAGCCACGGGCTGTGTGACCAATCTGCTGTGCGTCACAACGCGCAGGAGGACAGAATGGAGCACGCCAAAAACGCAGCTGGCTATCCGGCCCAGCCACCTTGCGAGGGGATGGCAACGACTTTCTTTTTGAGAAGACCGAAAAGTGCTTCGAGAGAGGGGAAGAAGGATTCGGCGCGCACGCCACCGCTACCACCAATTGAACTGCCCTCCACCGCGGTAGGACAAGGAACGGGAACAACGACAACGGCGGCGAATGCCTCGCTGCGAGCGCCGGGGCCGGCGCGGAAGGCGGCACGGACGCTGCGGTGCGGAGGCATCATCGACACGTTCAGCTACTTCTCCGTGCACCGCGTTTATCCCGAGTTGTACGCACGTTAGAATAACATACATGGGAAAAAACTGAAATAAAAAGAAAAAAAAACGTATAACTGAACGATACATGAATTCTTATGTGATGGCATTTTTTGCTTTGTTTCTCGTGTTCTTCCTCCTCTTCTCAACTCACGGTGTACGTTGACGCCGTTTGCTTTTACCGCTCTTCTCGTTTTGCTTTGTTCTTACCGTGTTATTCCAAAGGTGGTGTGTGTGTGTGAAGTGAGTTTATGTGCCATTACCCAATTTCTTCTCTTTTCTTCTCTTTTCTTTTTCCTGTTGAGCTTCCCGCGACGGTGTGCAATGGGCGAAGAAGTCCGCTGCTTGTCTGGCACGTTGCCGAAAAACGTGTGTGTTGCGTTGAACGCGTTTCGGAACGAGGACTGAAGGCGCCATCATAAAAGGGTTTTTTTTTTGAAATATCACTTTGCTGTCCGTGAAAAGGAAAAAAAACAGTACGATTCAGAGCTCTGTCAAGGATCTCCCCCCGTTGCTAGGCTATGTGCAGTGTGCTGTGTGCTGCGTTGTTGGAACCCCCTTTTCGGTTGGAACTGGAACCTTAGTAAAAACATCCGCATATACATATATGCGTTTTCTTTTGATGAAGTCGCGCCCCCTGCACTTCGCACTCGTCGTCCTTTACTATTATTATTATTATTATTAATATTATTATTATTATTTATTTCCAACCATGTAAAGTCGGAAAAGGAGAGAAGCCGACTTCTCTTCTCTGAATTTCAAGTGTCCTTCTTTTTTCTTCTTTTGCCGGAGTCGAGTTACGTGTACCTCATTCGTAAAAAGCAGAAGTGGGAAACATCACTGTGTAGACGGAAGAAACGCTGCGGCTCGCGCAGTCGCCGAAAAGGCAGATGAATAGAAACAAACGGTTTTTCCTCGTTCGAGAATATCGTTCCGAGGCACCGTCGGGCCGAAACAGGAAACCTATGACTTGCTTCATCAGAGGTGATACCAACGTGAGTAACCATCACGGCAACGGTAGAGTAAAAGAGAAACAGAAAAGTTATAGCAAGGTTAATGTGCTTTGACTTTTCTCATGCCTTAAAAAAAGTAATGTCTATATTTCCGTGTTCTGTGCCTGTCCCTGTCTCACATGTGAAGTCCCTCATCTGCAAGGAATACCCCAGCGGCTCTCCTTATCTATACCCGATGTGTGGGTGGCTGTGATCCTTCTCTTCCTACCTCCTCTAACTCTTTCATGCGCTTCTTTATGTATTACGTAATGATCACGCTGGCTTCTCCGCACGTTGTGTGTCTCTCGCTGCCAATCACACACGCACACCCACGAACACACGTATTTGGTGTAGAACCACCCACAGCAAGAGGTTTCTTCTCTTCTTCGTATTCTTTTTCTCTACTGTCCGAAGACCAACGGGCAGCCTTCACAGTGGTGCCTTGTGCGAACCGGACACCTAATAAGCACACACACACACAAACAACAGCAATATACATGACCTCGACGGTGTACTCGCGCCTCCCGCCCCCATCGCCCCCATCGGCCGATGACGCAGAGGAGGGCAAATACGCAGCAGCGGAAGAGCTGATGGCGGCTCCGCTGACACGTGCGAACGTCACTCTCCTCCAGGCCCTCTCGCAGCCGTCGCGTCTGCGCCGCCGTGTGGCGCCCACGTTTGAAATCCTCAGCTGGGACGGACCGGAGCAGATGACGTACAACCTCAACAGCTACCGGGCGCCTGGCACCCAGCTGTCTTCACGTACCATCAACAGGAACGTCGATAGAGACGGCTACAACGGGCAACGCTACCACGACGATGACGATGGTCACGTGGGTTCTGCGTGGCGTGGGGATCGCGGCAGCGGGGTGGCGGCAGCGGAGGAGGACGTCGCGCCCCCGTCTTTGTATTCGAGGGCTGATGAACGTGCCGGAGGTGCGAGGAGTGCAGAGAGAGACGAGGAGGAGGTGCGAGCATCGCGTCAGCACCCAGAGCGGCCGCCACCACCGCTGCCTTGGAGCCGGCAATACGAGCCGTCGAGTACGAGCAGCGGCACCCGGCTGCGCCCACGCCCGTCCGACGACCGCGACGATGATGACGAAGCTTGGCAGGAAGGCGGTGACCCCGACGAAGAAGACGTCAGTGAGGTAGACTACGAACCGAACCACTACGACAACCACCACGACAACGTTCTGCCTAGTGGCGGGGAGCCAAACAAGACCGGCCGGCTCAACATGCGCGCCTTTGAAGAGCGGTTCAACGCGGCGGACGAGGCCCCGGCGCTGCAGGCGGGCGAGACGGGCAAGAACGGGACTACTCGCCGTGAGGATCTACCGATGCGCGTGATCTATGCGTCGCACGACAGCGACGACGCCTCTTATCGCAAGCGACCGGTCGACGTACCGCCGCCGCCACCGCCACCTCCGCCGCGGCGGCAGTGGGGCGGCCAGCCTCAGGAGCGTGAGGAGGACTGTAACGTGGACCGCAGCCGCCCAGCTCGTTTCAGAGAAGAGGCGGGCTCGGCCGAGGCAAGCGGCAGCAGTGGTCGTGGGCGCGGTGCACTGCGTGAGGAGGGGCGGGGCAGCTTCGATGAAGACCGAGACGACGACGGAAGTGCGAGGGAGTTTGACGAAGACACTGGGAAAGGCCGCCGCCCACTGCGCGATACGTGGGAGCGTCCACGCTCTGACCACCACGACACCAGCTGCAGAAACGATGCGCGTCCTCATCGTGGCAGCTACAACGAAGCACACAACGACGACCACAACACCTCTCCTTCTTCCTCCTCCGTTCCACAGGGTGACGCTCGTGCCGCAGACAGGGAGAAGGAGGAGCACCGGAGCGACGACCCCTACTACCGCCCCTACGATGACGATTATACTGATGACGAAGATGAGGCGTTGTGTGGCGAGGTGATATCGTGCGACAGCTACGACGCAGAGCGGAAGCCGCCGCAACGCCCACCGCGACGGCCGCAGCCCGCTTCGCACCCCACCCGTCGCAGCGCCCCTCGGACCGTCCCGCCACCGCCGGCAGCGCCGGTCCACGGCCACTCTAGCCCGAAGGGGCCGCAGCTCCACGCGAGACGCGGGGAGAAGACGGCACCGCAGAACAAGCGGAAGAGGACCGCGCGACACAATCCGAAGGCGTTTAAAAACACGACGACATACTCGTGGATCTCAACCAACACGACGACGACTGTAATCCTACCTGCCGCGACGGTGCAGCTGGTGCCGCTCGCAGGGGTCTATCACCCGGTGGTGGAGGAGGTGCCGACGGAGGAGCGCTGGGCCTCGTCGCCGTACCAGCAGGGCGTACCGCAGGTGGGGCCGCCTGCACGATAAGTTCCCCACCCCGGTGTATTTGGAGCAGGCACCCGCCACGACTGCGGCAGACCCGGAGGCAGCCGCCGCTGACGGGGACGGGGAGAAGGACGCAACGGCGGCGGCGGCAGCGGCGGCCAACGTGGTGGCGGATGCGGTGCTGCCACCGCTGTTTGATGCGCTGATGGCGCTGCCGGTGGTGGGTGTTGTGTCGTACGAGGAGGGCGTGTGCCCGCTGGTGCGCAGTCTGTCGCTCGCCTTCGCCGGCCACCACCGCGGTCGCGTGCACGTTGCTGTGCAGCGCTACGGAGATGGCGAGGCCGACGAGACGCTGCGCGAGGCCCGCACGCGGCTGAGGAACCGTGTGATCAGCGCGACGCCGGTGCTGAAGTGCGCGTACGGCTCAGCGGTGAAGGTGGCGTCCTCCGCCCGTGGAGAGGGCGTTGCGGACGTGGCGAGGCGCGTGCTGCAGGCGAGCGACGGAGCCGGCGTGGTGCTGCCGTCGACGTGCGGTGCCGGGGACGGTGGCGCTGCGGGGCTGCGCGTGCGTGGGTTTGTGATGGATGCCCGCACGCCGCACGCGCCTGTGACGAGCACCGCTGCGCTGCGTGCTGCACTGTCGATGCCCGGGCAGACGCTTGCGTTGGAGGACTTCCGTGCGGTGCGTGTGGGACCGGATGACCGTGACGTTGTGCTCGTGCTGGCCCGCGAGGACGCCGCGGCGAAGGCGGTGCACTGGATCGACGGCGCATCGGAGAATGATCTGCTGCTGACGTACCCGCTGCCGCTGGAGGCGTACGAGGACATGACTGCGGAGCTGCAGTGGTCCCGGCCGTAAAGACTCCTTCCGTGGCGTCCTGGAAAAAGGGCGCGTACGAGATCAGCTGCTCGTTTGATGCACGGACTTGTTTGCAAGCGGCACAAGCGAGCCAGTGGTGTTGACGCACGGTTCTGATGGACGGAGAGTCATGTGTTTACCATAGTTGTTACTTAGGAGGACTCAAGTGTGGAAGGGAATATGTGAACAGTGCTGCTGCTCCCCAAGAAGCACCCATGTGAGCGGCAGCGGTTTTTTCTTTTTTCTCCGAGCGATCGAGAAGACGATTGTTTATCCATTCGTTGTGTTGCCAGTCGACTGGCACCGGACGAAGCAGAATGCGCTGCGTCTCTAGAAGCGCTATTTTCATTCTTGTTATTGTTTTTTTTTTCTTTTGTTAAATATGAAAGCTGAGTTCAGTGTGCGCGCCCGCCGTTTGAGCTGCGCTCCTGCAACCTCTGTTCTGCCGTTCCATGATGGCGCAGATAATCGTTTTACGAGTACCCCTCCACGCGACGCCCCACAAACCGATAGGCTCAGCTTCGACAAAGGCGCCGAAGACGCTCGCTCAGCTTCCTGCTGTCGGCGCAGTAGTTCCCATTCCGCGGATAGAGCGTTATTCCTAAAAGCCGAGGTGTACGGTGACCTCTTTCGTTTTATACTTCTCTCTTTCTCTTTCTCTTCCACCTCTTCTGCTTGTATGTTTGTGTGTGTGTGTGGGGTTCATACGCTACTCGTCTTGAAGGAGAAGTGCAAGATTGTTTCTCCGACGGAGTTCACTTTTCGGGCTCTTTCGAATTTGCCACGGCACGCATCTCCACCCACGTACCTCTGGCTGTAGATACGACGCATTCTAATTCCATTTCGTCGTGGGAACTGAATATATATATCTAT